CGGAAGCGCGGGCGGCTCCTGAGGGGGGATGCGGGCGGGCTGCCCTCACCGCGGTCCTGCGCGGCCGAAGCTGCCGCTGAAGCCCGGGAAACCCAAGCTTGCTAAGCAAGGTGGGATTTGGGGAGCAGCTGACGATTAAGGAAATGGCGGGGAGGCCGAGCTTGGGGGCTGTTCGTTGTGCACAAGAAAACACGCCTAGGATACATGGCAGGGCTTCTGCATCACCCAAGACTAACGGCGTGTGAAAAGCCACTCCTTGCACGGCTGTGCTTAAAGGCTAATTTTCAATTAAAACTTCCAGTCAGAAATACAGAAGGTCATGCTCGAGCTTAAGGAATTCTGCTTCCACGACTAGCTGTGTAATTATCTGCAGAAGACTTAAAGAATAAAGCGCAGTCTGGCTTTCTAGCGAACCATATATGCGTTTGGGTTTGCCAAGTAAGCGCCCGCTACTGTACTCCTGGTAATACTCGGCCGTTGCGTTTGTCTCCAGCCGTATGACAGATGTCATCCGAATACTTGATTTACGTGAGTAAATTCCGCTCACCTCGCTCGGGCTGGCAGCTGTGAGCCAGCAGAGCTGGCTGCGCTTGTGCAGGCTCAGGGCACAAATGCCTGTGGAGGGGAAGGCTTTCGGCAAGGGACGCGGGGACGTGAGGAGCTGGAGGTCATGGACGTGACTGGATAAGACACCTCTGCCTGCCGAGTCGCTGAAAAGCTCCCTTGTTTTCAATGAGTTTGGATCAAGCCAACCTTGAATTGGCTGCTTTCCATAGCATCAACCGCTGCGCTGGTTTTTCATCTGTCTCGAAATAGTTGTAATCTGGCCACTCTCACGTTCTCTAAATTATTGCTTTTTTCCTCTACGTGCATTTGCACTTAACAGTGGGAGCTCATCTAATACTGAATCCTGGTGGCGTGAACTCTCTTTTCGCCTCTGACTCAGACAAAATGATGACTTCACAGCACATCTGTTCCCCTGAGGTACTCCACAGCGTTCTCTGAGCGTTCTGCTCGTACTGCTACCCCCTTCTGTGCTTTCGCAGGCGGCCTTTGCCAGGAAAGGACGACTACGCCATTATTCATCCTCATACTCTCCCTGGAACTTTATGCAATATCCTGCGGTCTCCCATTTGGGCAATACATTTCATGAGCGATATGTAGATGCATTTTCACAGGATATCGTTGATTATTATTACAAGTTAGGCACTTGAATGTCAAACTCAGGCATTTGGAGAGCGTTCTGTTACCTTCCTGCCCGCCCAGCACAATGAAGGTGAGTGCCTTCTGGCAGCACACGAGGAAGATCGAAATTTTGTAACTTGTGACAGAATCGCATGAAAAACTTTGAGCGTCACCAGTGTTGCGTTTCACCTCACTCATACCTCCCATTCACTTGCACTGGCGTTTTGCATCTGCCAGAAATAAGCGGATCGGTGCTGCATTCCCAGCACGCAGCACGTATCCGTCATCCCGGGCTTGGCTTTCGCAACTGCAGTTTCATTTCTCCTGACTAGTTCCCGTGTTTGACATTATTCATGGCATCTCGTCCAAAACATAACGCATTCTTCCTACACTGCAGGCAGCCAGTGGCAGGATTGGGACCTAAAATTATTTTGGGGCATATTTAATTTATCCTTAAGAGACTCCAGCGGAGCACGCTTAGTAAACATCGCAAGAACAAGCACGTTCAGAAGTGCGCGGTCACACCCGAAGGCAAAAATACCGAAAAACTTCGCCAGCAAAAGGCAGTCTGGCTTGGCTTGAACTCCTCTGCCCGTGGATCCGCGCCAGCAACCTACGTCTGGGTGTAA